CAAAAAACTTCCTTTCTGTTCAATGTTTCCACAAATCACATTTTACCTCTTGGCTCAGTCACTATCCCATCCAAATCATTCTTAGAGGTGTAAACAGTCAGTAGTAGGAAAATAAATCTTTAACTCACTAAAGAATAGCATACTTGACAATATTTTAGGAATACCAAAACTTAAAAAATTATAAGGAGGGTGCATTAGCCAGTCTTTACATAGAAAACTGCATAGTAAGCAATGCCTTTTATGGAGAGGGGGAAGTCCTGGTTTAAAAACAAGATTTGTATATTTGACAGACTACATACATTGTGCACTGATAGTTTATGTTCTTATTCTAATTCATTAAGAATGAAAAATTTTGTCCTTGCACTACAACATTAATTTCATAATTCTTAATTTTTGTTCAAGACCTGCAATCTGGAAAACACTGGTTAACAAAAACATATGCATGACAGTCAGAACACTGTGAGGAAAATGTGGGATATACCTCACTCTCATTCAGGAGAATTTCATAACCTTTGCAAGTCTGTTTCCACCCATTTGAAATGATGATACTATATATAGCAGATCAGCATATTGACTACATATGTCCAGGTAACCCACGGTACAACAGTAAAGAAACAGAAGGGATAATTATTAAGCATGATGAAGTTAGGTAAGGATTAGCTATAGTAAGGAATTCAAATAGACTGTAGGCAGTCAAGGTTTAGTCAACCCTGTGCAGATGGAAAATAACTAAAAACGGAATGCTTAATTTTGCTCTTCTTTCTCCTTCTTGAGCCCACTATAGCGGCTGGTCATATGTGAATCTAAGAAAGTAAGGATTGGATTGCTGCTCCCCCCACCCTCCGAACATGTGGTCACCTCCAGCATGGCTGTCTCCAGAAGTTTCACTGAGGCCAGGAAATCCAGGAAAACACTCACATGACGGGAAATACTTTTGTGCTGCCAGTCAACTGCAGTGAGAGCAGCAATCCTTCTCAAATCTGACTGGCCATAAAACTAGCAAGAGAAGCTTGCTAAATATTCAGATTCTAAGAACACGCTGGAGCTTTATTAGATTAAATTCATTGGAGAAATGCCTTGGAAGATATTTCAAATGTATGGAGAAAGATGCATCTGTTACAGAATTCCATTATAGCCAGCCCAGCAGACACATCAATGAGGAAGGGAAGCCTTTTGGTGTATCTCCTATTTCATCATAGTAAATTGTCAAATAAATATTTGATTCAATAATAAGCCAAACATCAATGAGTCATTTGTCAGCCAATAAATTCATTCTTCATCCAGACATGATGGCACATGCCTGTAACACCAGCACTCTGGAGGCTGAAGCAGGAGGATGGCTGGTAGTTCAAAACCAGGCTATGTAGTAAGCTTAAGGTTAGCTTGAACTACATAGTGAGACCCTGCCTCAAAAAAAAAAAAAAAAAAAAAAAGTTTTATTCAACAGAAAATATCTGTGCCATAAAGGACACACAGACATGAGTTGAAAGATACAAGAATTTAGAGAGTTTTAGTCCCTCTCAATTGGAAACAGTGAGAAAATACATAGATTAAAGAAAGGCACTCACCGGGCGTGGTGGCGCTCACTTGTAATCCCAGCACTCAGGAGGCTGAGGCAGGAGGATCACTGAGTTCGAGACCAGCAGGGGCTACATAGTAAGTTGCAGGGCAGTCTCAACTACATAGTGAGACCCCCTTCTCAAAAAAACAAAAGAAAAGAAAAGGAAAAAAAGAAAGGCACTAAGAGCATACTTCAATGTGTTGCAGAAATTTATATTCACATTATTAGTTTTCATTAGCAATGAGTACAAACCCAGCATTATGTAATCAAATGCCCATATAGTCACAGTTTCTCTAGTCTAGTCTGTTTTTGAGTTTTTGCCACTTTCTTTTTATTTTAACAAATTTTGCTGTGTAGAAGCTATTTCTCTCTCTCCTTCCCTCCCTCCTTTTTTTTTTTTTTTTTTTTTTTTTTTTTTTT